GCCTCCCAGAGAGCTAGGATTACAGGCGTGAGCCACTGCGCCCGGCCTTGGGCACAGGTATTTTTAAATCTCTGTGGCATCTGACTCCTTATTTAAGAAGTAGGGTGGGATCCCACATCCTTCTCCCATAGGTGACTCATTCAGTTCAGTTCTTTTAAATTGCTGGGCTTCCGGAACCAATCCAGGCAAGGCAGACTCTCTCTAAGTCGATTGCCATGGGAAACCAATATGGGGGATAGGGGATAAGCCAGACCCAGGCTGTTTAGGAAGAGCGGGAAAGGGGTGTGGTTCCCCTGGAATTCATCTCACAGTGGACCTTGAAGCATTAGTCTGCTGCTCTCTCCAAGAGAACTACCTACCTTCCAGATGAATCATGCTGGATTCTGATTTATAGCATTCTCTAGTGTAGCATTCTTTGGCATGTTGGTTCCTGTACTTTTCTCGAGATTAAGAGGTAGAATTTACAATTCTCGAGTGTAATTGCTCAACCCTGGTGTTTACCAACTCAGCCTTCTTCTCTGTACTAGATAGCATTTAGGGGTCTGTGTTGAATAGCATCTGTCGGCAGCAGCAACCCGACTGGAGCTTGTCTCCGGTTCCTGTTAGTGCTCTTCAGCAAGGGAAGTTGCCAGCTTTTTCTTAAGCCTGTCCTCAAAACCTATTTTTGTGACTTTTTTCCCATATTCACCTGTTTCCTATCCAGTAGTAATTTTAGGTGATGTTAGCCAAAGCTTCCCTATTCTGGCCAAAGCATTCCTTCCAATTAAGCCAAATTTATTGAGCTCCTATTAAGTACCAAGCACTGGGAGACATATGCCCCCAGTTCGTTACACCTGAATGTAATGATCTGACATGTTCTCTTTCCTTTTTTAAAAACTCTTCATGACAAAAAGCTCTTGCTCTCCCACTGCACCCAAGACGGTGAGAGCAGCTCTTCTGTCTAGTGCTGCCAAAACTATATCAGGCTCCCAAAGGGGTTAGGATATACTGTTACTTATTCCTTCTCAAGTGAACTAGATAATGGACTTTGGGTGGCTTCTATTCCAGTAGGGTAACTGCATTTTTACTGCCAGAGATGCAGCAGTTGTTATTGCAATAAATAACAAGTTCAGAACTGTAGTGTAAATCACATACCCAGCAGACAAATTCGCTTGAAAGCAGATTTCTAAACCCTAGAATCAGACTGAACCAGGTTACCAAGTTACGCTTAGAGAGTTCACGTTTTATTAACCAGGCTTGACTGTGTGGGTTGGTGGTATTCAGCCATGTCTAAGAGTCCTGTTTATCAGAGCTAAGAGAAATGATGCAATATCTGTTCTTTCAGTAGGTGCTTTTCAGTTAAAAGGAGGAACACTGATCTTGCTTTTCTAAATGATTAGAGTTGTTTTTCTTCATTAGGTGATGTATGCAGAATTAGCTGGCATTTACACACCAATCCCTAGGTGTCTGTTTCCACCAGCAAGAGACCCAGAAACTGGGCTGAACCGGTTCTTAGATTTTTTGAATTTTATAGCTGGAAAAGCTCAAATGGATGATCTAATCACCCTCCTTCCAATTATCCTCAAAAGACTGGCACACATGTGGCTTAAAAGTTAATGTAAACCCTGTTTCTTTCAATCTTTTAACAGACTTCAACAGACCTTGCCAAAATGCCATCTCAAATGGAACATGCCATGGAAACCATGATGTTTACATTTCACAAATTTGCCGGGGATAAAGGCTACTTAACAAAGGATGACCTGAGAGTACTCATGGAAAAGGAGTTCCCTGGATTTTTGGAAGTAAGTGTCAAAAGGTTCATAAAGAACCAGACATAAAAATCAGTGCTTCTAGGCCCTGGTTCCTTACCCTGTCTCTTTTCATCCCTTCCCTGTGGAGGTCACCACTAGAAAAGTGTTTTCATTCATTTATTTATTAAATAATATTGAGTACCTATTGTTTGTAAGATACTATAGAGAAAACAAAGTGAAGAAGACACAGCCCCTCCCCTCGAGGTGTTCGTAATCTGCAGGTGAAATAAGATTACACACAAATTACCACAATACGAGGTGTTTGTTAGAAAATTCCATCTGGAGTTACCTGCCTCAGTTGAAACTATTCGGGGAACAGAGTTGGGGGAGAGAAGTCTTTTCACAAGAGAATAATCAACCAGGAAATGGCTGTGATCAGGTCCATGAACCTGGTATTGGAGACGTCACGTCCTGGTCACATTCCATTTTGAGCAACTTGAATCTCCCTTCTTAATCCCTTCAGTTAAAGGGATTTGTTTTTTCCTTCTCCAATAGTATAAAGGAATAGTGTCAATCATCTGTTGGGTAAGAACCAAGAATCACTCCGGAAATCACTGCTTTTCACATTGAAGATGCTCTGAGAACACAGGAGCACAGTTTGAGTTTATGTCTTACCTTTGACAGATCTGTGAAAACTAGAAAAGAAATCTGCCATCAGCTTGGGTATGTCGCTCAGGACACGAGGCCACAGGCATGTTGTCCTTTTACATTGCAGGTCCTTAGGAGATGGTTGTTGAATTCAACCGAAGGTGAAACACTGCTCGGCAAAATAGATTGAAATGCAAGCCCTTCTCTCCCTGCCACAACTCTAGTCACTTGAAAGGCTCATTACCGTGCTTGGTGATGAATAATGCATTAGCCTCTAAAGTGAAGGAGATGAAGGTAGAAGGCTGGGTCCTGCCTCTTGTCATCTGCCTGGTAAATAGCACATTAGTCAAGCCCCTGACTCCTGCATCGATATGCATGGGACTTTGTAGTACAATATAATTTACTGTCATCAATATCTGTTAAATAAACAGATATAAATAGCCTAGCTGCTCTCAGAGCTGCACTTACCTAAAGCTATCCCAAAGTGAGTTAGAATATACAGTTACTCTGCTTTTGTAGAGTGCTGTGATCTAGCCCCAGACCGGGACTTAGAAGATCTGGCTCTGCCTTAAAAAACAATGGTTTGTAGTCCTCTAGTTCAGCTTCTCTAGTCCTCAGTTTTCTGCCCTGTAAAATGAGAGGACAAGACATGATTGTCTGCAAGGTCACTTTCACTTTCTGTGGTCCTTGAAAGCAAACATGAAATGCAAGGACAAAATGTGCTCATTATGCCCATCACATGGACAGACGTATTCTCAGTACACCAAACACTTGCTAATCATGTTGTCACATTAGTTAGAAGCCAGGATGAATATCATGTAAGACACAGACCCTTCTTCTCTAAAAGTTTTATGGCACGAGAAATATAAAGGGTGGTGTGGGGTACTGAACATGGTAGGGTAATTTATTCCAGGCACAGGGTCATCATTCCAGGCACACCCACACTCACTGCATTAATAGAGCATTTTGTTTCTAAAGTAGACCCCTTATGTCATCCAGATTTCACTCATTCTTACCACAGCCAGGAAGCTGAGGGTGAGGCCAGAATTAGCTGCATAGAGCAGGTTTTAGTTGACTGCTTAGGGTAGGAGTTTACAGTCCTCACGTAGGAAATGCTGCTACTATACCTTCAGGGATTCCTGAGTGCAATTTACTAACATCTAGCACACTTGAAACACTGTGTATCAGTTCCCTCGCTCATGAATACAGTCACAGGAATTCATAAGTACTTGATCTGAGGCCTCTGACAACCATATTTCCCTCTCTGTTTGATGGCATGGACCGTATAGGAGAAACCCCACTTTCCCACTTCTAACCAGCATCACTGCAAAAAGGAGTGATCAACCAGTCACCATGGAAGCAAGAAGAAAGCAAAGGGGAGCTTGCCTACTCATCTCCAACCCATCCACACATACTTGCCAGACACTGGGAGTCATGGGAGCTGATGACTCCAGCATACGTATTCCTTTTCAAGCTGGCCCAATGTACAACACCCAGCAGAGTCTACAGGATGGTATAGACTTCCCAATTCAAAGAATGGAAGGGATCCTAGAGACACTCTAGTCCAACCTCCTCAATCCATACTTGATGCACAGAGGCCTGCTACGCTGTGTGCCTTACTCAAGGTCACACAGCTAATACGATGCCACCGTAGCTTGGCCTCAGATGTGCCAAGGAGAAACGAGAGCTGTCTGTCTTCTCCAAACCTAAAATACTGCTTGGCGTCATTAGCACCTCCTTAAAATCCATAGAACAATGATCCAAAACTTATTCCCTAAATAATCTTATGAGATCTTTCCATAAGCAGTTTCCTTTTTAAAGGATTTGACCATGCTATCAGGAATAAAAGTTTATTAAGAGAACATAAGTTTAAACAACAAAATGGGGAGTTTTAGGGTGGTTATTAGGCAGAATCTAAATATGAATTCACTGAAATGCTCCCTCAAGGCAAAAAAAAAAATACGTTGAGATGACCTCCAAAGGTCACTTATGACCTGAAACAAGAGCTCCAACAATGGGGAGATTGCACACATGGTTTCAGGCAGCATAAATCAAATAAGCTCATCACTGTAACCATTAACTGATATTTCTTGTCTTTGTTCTTTTTTTTTCCTCCCAGAATCAAAAAGACCCTCTGGCCTTGGACAAAATAATGAAGGACCTGGACCAGTGCCGAGATGGCAAAGTGGGCTTCCAGAGCTTCTTTTCCCTAATTGCAGGCCTCACCATTGCGTGCAACGACTATTTTGTAGTACACATGAAGCAGAAAGGAAAGAAGTAGGCAGAACTGAGCAATTACTCTACGCTGATAAGAGTTCTCTCAAAGGATTGCTTAAGAAATCTGTCCCACAGCTTCTCCCTGTATAAGGATCTCGTGAGCAGATCAGGACCCTTAGAAAATGTACAAATAAAATCCACCTCCCATTTGACAAGCAGAGAAAGAAAAGTTAATTAAATGCCAGATAAGCTTTTGATTTTTATATTGTTTGCATCCTCTTGCCCTCAATAAACAAAGTCCTTTTTTTAGTTCCAAGTTTAAGACAGAATGTTTGTTGTTTCTTCAGAAATGCTTGTTCCCCTGGAGGGGCCATTATCCTAAGTGAAGTAACTCAGGAATAGAAAAATAAATGCCGACTTATAAGTGGGAGCTAAACTAAGGCTACACAAGGGCACACAGAGTAATGTAGTGGACATTGGAGACTCACAAGAGGGGAGGGTGGGAGCGGCAAGGGGTGAAAAATAGGGTACAACGTACGCTATTCAGGTGATGGGTACAAAAGCCCAGACTTCACTTTCACCACTGTACAGTATATACATGTAACAAAATTCAACTTGTACCCCTAATTCTATTAAAATTAAAGAAAAAAAGAAATGTGTGTTCCGAAAGAAGTAGCATGCCCTTGTGCAGCCAGCACACGTCAGAGCTCTTTCCACAGGACGAGCAAACGGGAAAACACTCTCCATTTGGGCGTGGAGTCTAACTTCTCCAATTGCTCTGCCCTTCTAGCTGTGTCTATATGAAGGACTCACACTTGAAAGGTTAAGAGAAGGCTCTGCAGGAATATATTCTAATTTTATAATTACTGAACACAGACTTGCCCAGCTATATCAGTGCTTTTCCAGCTACACTGCATGCCTGAGATGTCTGAATCTATTTTTCATAGAAAAGTTTCAGCAAACTCTAGAACAAAAATAAGAGAACCAATCAAAGCAATAGAGGGTAGCATAATGCCTCAGTGACAACATCACATTAACATCATTGATGCACCTCCCAGATGTCAGGAAATATGCTAGGTGTGACTTACATATGGGGCAGTGCTTTTCTGTTGGAAGTGAAGTGCCAGCACCGAGGTCTTTACAGATAGCAGAATGTTTCTCCCAGCCTTTCTGTGTGCCGGTTACAAGCTTCAGCATATGTGTGCATTTCATGCTATATACTTATTAATAACATAGTACTCTATATTTTTATAGAGAGGTGATACATGAATTTCACAAATAAGCACATGAAATGGCTCCAATTAAATAAGTCAACGAAGGTGGAAACATTTACCTTTATTACACTTACCTGGCAGGGGAGACACCATGATCACGAAGGTGGTTTTCCCAGGGTGAGGCTTATCCATTGCACTCCGGATGTGCTGACCCCTGAGATTTCCCAAACGTGCGAAACTCGACTGCATAATTTGTGGTAGTGAGGGACTGCGTTCGCGCTTTCCCCTGGAAAAAAAAACATTTATGATTGGACATACCACTATAACTCTGGGGAAAAGCACGATATAAGGTTGTCGAGCATTGCAAGGAAAAGCATGCGAAGGGGAACAGGATAGTTCAAAACTGGCTTTGGGGAAAATAAATCCATAATAAAATCAAAGTCAAAGAAAAAATTCAACCATTTTATTTTGTCTCCATCTACAAACGAACAGTGTAAGACATGATAGCTTTGCAGATGAAGGATTACATCAGCAAGTTTACAAAGAGGGATTTATTACAGGAATATTAATTGAAGAGAGTTGGCTAGCTGAAGAAACTGGCTGTAGATTGAGTCCAGGAATGACTCCCAAACCGAGGCTACAGAACAGGGCCACCGAGGGAGCAGCTGGCCCAGGAAGCTGCCTGCTGAACTGAAAAGCCATTTCTGCAACTGGCAGCCCCAGAACCAAACTACCACGTAGTCTACAGGAGCAAATACAGATACCCATTGCTCTGCCTCTCCCCACAGATGACTTGGTTCCCATATCGAAGTGTCTAGGAAGTGCCTCCGATTGGCAGAACCTCAATCACATCAAAAACCAAACCACAAGGGAGTCTGGGAAATAAAGTTTACATTTCCCTATCTCTGCACACTAGGAATTGGCATACTGGTCCTGCCACAGTGATGATTTCTAATTCTAAGGGATGTCTTCTAACTTGGAAGTTAAACAAATTACGGCTCAGAGGAAAAGAGGCTCTAAAAGATAACCTCTCTGATAGCTACAGAGAATAGAGAAACAAGCTGGCCCATCACAGTAAGGCAAACCATCTCTCGTCCATGAGAAAGTGTAGCAGTCCAGATTTACCCCTTTGGTTTACCTGCCTCTTGGGACATCTGTGTTTACTGAACACTGTAAATATTAGTGGTCAATTTACAAATGGGCAGGTAAAATTGTAACATAGAGATATTATTATGAGTGCAGATGTCCCCAAATCCATGGCAAAGTTTCACACTCAAAGCCTCTTTACCTGAAAACAGAAAGAGAACTATCCCAGAAGAAGGGCTGTCGGGGAGGAGAAAGAAAGTATCAACTCATCGTGACAGTGGGTGTGTAGATTCAGAAAAATTCTGAAGCACTGTGTTATTCCTAGCAGATTTTCTGGCATTCAGAAAGGTACCCAATGCCAGGGAATCATCCGAGTCACTGTTTCTGGGATGGGTGTATGTGTATGAGTGTTGTGGGGAAGGGTTATGACACCTTCCTCACTTCAGCCCCATTGCTCAAAGCATTTAGTACGGAGCTAGTATGAGGAAAATAAAAATGGTATTTATGGTTTGAAATCCCACATGACTCTTTGTGCCAACGAAAACACATGGAACCCACAATCTGACCCTCTGAAGCCGCTGCCTAGGCTTCAGCCTTGCAGCCTAACGGCTCCCAGAGGGCAAAGCTGCAATTATGCCAATAGCCGTCAAGAGGAACCATCTGGAAAATTCCACTCATTCTGCTACATGGCTGAGTTGTAAAAGCAGATCCCGCCCCTCCCCACACCCAGTTATGAGGGAAGAATGAATAGCAATGCAGAAAGTCAGTTTCAAACATGCTGCAGAGCTGACCCTGAAAAACAAATCATTTTTTCTTTTGGACCCCGTCCCCTTGTCCAAATCCCCTGAACATCAGCCAACTACCTTAATGCTTTTCTACCCAGCCTATCTCACCAGAAGACCGAGGACAAGTCTGTAAACCTCTCTCTCTCAATTTGACCAATTTGAAAGTGATTATCCAAGTACCTTCTCCAGCTCTTAACCCCAGAGGGATAGTTGTGGATAGAAATTCATTTATTTGGCAAATATTGACAAGCGTTACTATGTGAATGACACCAAGCAAAGTTCTGTATAAAGGGAGGTATAAAGAAGCAGATGGCCACAGTGCCTGCTCAAGGAGATCACAATCTAGGTTGAAAGATAATAAATAAAGCAGACAAAAAGTTAAATAACAACACAACAGAGCATTGACAAAGGTGACATGTGATGGGCACTTTTGGTCACTGTTGATAGTAATGTAATTTACACAACCTTTTGGGAAGGCAAAAGTTGGCAATATGTGCCAGCATCCTTTAATGTGTTTTCTTTGATTCAGTATTTCTATTCCTAGAAATTTATCTTAACAAAGCAATCAAAAATACTCAGAAAGTTCATATACAAAGATATTTGCTGCAGCATAATTTAGAACAGCTAAAACCTGAGTAAAACCTCAATGTCCAACAATAGGGTTACGGTTAAATAAGTTATGTTTAGAGGTACATGGAGTACTACAAGGCTCATGAAAACCAATACCTTGAAAAATATTAAGTGAGATAGAGAAATATCTCTGCAAAGCAAAGCAGGCTGCAAAATTGGAATAGAATGGAATTTCTTTCTTTTTAAAATGTCTGTGCCTATTTGCACACGCATGGAGGTGGGGGAGGGCAACTAAAGCAAATACACCAGCTGTATTTAGTTTCCAGGGTAGGAGTTACTGGCTAAGGAAATTGTCGTCTCCAGAAAGATGCTTATGGGATTATTTTAATTTTCTTTATATACACTGCTGTGTTATCTAAATTTTCTATAGCAATTCTACCTTTACAATCTATAAAACAAAATTCTAATGAATATATTTTGAAAGAGCACGTGTATCCACTGAGGTTCTGCCATCAGTCAGGACCTGTATGAGATACTTCTTAAGCATCATTTTATTTAGTCCCCACAATAACCCTGTTAAGATACCATAATTCCATTTTACAGATGACAAAACTAAGAGTTAGGTAGTTCCCTCAAAGTCCCCCAGTACTTACTGTGTCAAGATTTCAACCCAGATACTCTGTTTACATTTTCCTTCTATTCTGCAGCTGTCTCAAGGTGCTATCTGAGTAAATTAAGTATCAAATATGTTACTCTTTCAAGAGTAAGAGATTATTGCGGGTGGAATGTGACTAGTCAGAGAAGATTTTATGCCAGGCATAGGATGTTATCTGGTCTTTGAAGATGAGAAGAAATTTGGATAATAGTTAATATTCGCTGAGTTCTTACTCCATTCCAGGCTCCCTTCTAGTGCTTTACAAGTATTAACTCATTTGCTCCCCCCAACAACTATGAGGTAGGTACTATACCGTTCCCACTTGACAGGTGATTTGACCAAGGTACAGAGCTAATAAGTAGTGCAGGCAGGATTTGAATCCAGATGGTCTAAGGCTGAGGTCCCAACCCCCGGCCGTGTCCCAGTACTGGTCTATGGCCCGGTACTGGTCCATGGCCTGTTAGGAACTGGGCTCACATCACCACCTGAGCTCTGCCTCTCACCTCCTCACTTCCCTCATCACCCACTCCAAGCCCCTGTACCCCACTCCCGTGGAAAAATTGTCTTCCGTGAAACTTAGGGACTCGGCACACAGCAGTGGGGTGAGCAAGCGAAGCTTCATCTGTGTTTATAGCCACTCCCCATTGCTTGCGTCACCACCTTAGCTCTGCCTCCTCCCCCCACTCCCCCAACTCATCCATGGAAAAAGTGTCTTCTGTGAAACCGGTCCCTGGTGCCAAAAAAGGTTGGGGACCGCTGGTCTGAGGTCTTAGCCACTCTTCTCTGCTGCATCCCCAGACATAGTAATGATGGAGCAAAAGAATGCCCAGGAGACAGAGTACTAAGGCCATGTGCAATTCAGCATGTCTGAAGTGCCACATGGTGGCAGAAGAAAGTACACGTAGGAGGGCTAGGAGAGGTAGGCGGTGTCAAATGAACAATAAATGGTAAATAATAAAGGATACATGAAATACTGTGGGTGAGGTCATTCAATTAAAAACTCTAC